TAAAAATTCCTAAAATAAAAAGGAAGCCCCTTTTTTTTTTTCTTTTTTTTTTTTTTTTTTGGTGATGTCTATTTCAGGTGTCTTTCTGGCAGCCACATCAGAAACTCTGCCACAGATGTTTTTTTTCCCTAGATATGAACTTCTCCCCCCCCCCCTATTTTTTTTTTTTACAACTCAAGCTGCTCAAGGTGATAAAGTGCTGCAGATATAAAAACAGTCCTCCTAGAGCAAAGTAGTTCTCAATGCCACTAATTTAAAACCTAAATAATTCTATTACACTAAGTAAAGAGAATACAAACTAAGATTTATGGTTTTTTTTAGGAGGCCTGAACATGTCCCCCCCCCCCCAATTCCCTTTGCTAAATGTTTTTCCCACAGCGACAGCACCATACAAAGACAAAATTCCTGGCATTTCTGTTATGATTGGAGCACATTTTGGCCCATTTTTATATCTTGCTTTATTGAGCATAAACAGCTCAAGTTACCAGCTAATCAAGTCTCGACCTTTTATTGGGATCAGCACTTCTGCAGAACCCACCGATGTCGAATGTTTCGCCACTGGGGCCTGCAGAAGAACCGTGAGGGTGGAGATAACGGAGGCTTGCGAAACTATTCACAGTTCTTTAACCTTTTCGCACATTGACATGATCCAGCCACAAACTTCAGTGGGATTTCATTAGAGCAACACAAAAGTAGTGAATCGTTTGGAAGCAGGAGAAAAACTATGTTTTCAATGTTTTTTTTTGTTGTTGTTGAAAATCTGAAAAGTGTGGAGTACAATTCTTTTCAGCTTCCTGAGTTGCTGAAGTCACATGAACACTTTTTAAATGTAAAAAAAAAACAAAACCCGAAGAGCATGTATCCTCTTACTTCCATTTCACCAGTATAACTTTAGTACATCTTAAAATATTAGCAAAATACGCTGAAGTTTATGATGATGACGTGACAAAATGTGGAAAAGTTCAAGACGTTTGAATACGTCAGCAATAAACCGGATGAAGTGTTTTTGTTTTTGGCGTTTCCTCCTCTGCAGTCACATTACACATTATGTAGGTTTGTGGGTTTCTTTCGGGGAAGTCTCTGTGCTTTTAGAGCAATAAATCAGTTTCCTGTTGCAATCACAGGCCAATTTGCTACCTCATCGTGAAGTCAAATGTAACAGAAGATAAAAAGAGTATTCATGACTGCTATTGCAGAAGGTTTATGACAAACGCCAGCTCGAAGGCCGCGCTGAGATCTAATCGGTTCCTTCACCCGAGGCAGCAACAGCTCGATCTCCAAACCTCCGCCTCCCCGCCAAGACACATAAATCCCTCTTAAATCATCAACTTGCCAAACTGTCGCACACATCAAGCCCAGTGGGGTTTTGCTTCACTAAATTATCTCTGACTGCTGTTATTATCAGATCCACAGAAAATCATGCCTTTTTTTTGTTTTAGTTTTTTCTTTGAACTCATCTCTTTCTTTCCGCTCATTCACAAAAGTGTGTTATGTGTCACCGCTTCGGACAAACCAGTACCCGTAAAACACTGACCTGATATGAAGGATCCCGGCGGCATCTGGCTGTAGTTGGCTCCTCCCATGTGCAGGGCGCTCGGCGGGGCCGGGGTGAAGGGCGCGCCGTAGTTCTGAGGGGTGGCGTAGGGTCCCGGCGGTATGGGCTGCGCAAAGGCAGGAGACAGTCATGTTGTTAAAAAAACAAAACAAAAGAAGCACCTTGACTGGATGTTATGCAAGCTGAGAAGGAAATGCTGAATAAGTGATTGAGGAGTCAAGAAGAGCAGGTGGGTGACAGAATAAAAAGGCAGTGTGTTTTCATTGGACGCCCTCCATCTATTGCTTTTCCACTGGCGAATGGAGCAGGTTTCAGCTTGTGAGTGTGTCGAAGTGTGTTGAGATGTGTGTGTGTGTGTGTGTGTGTGTGTGTGTGTGTGTGTGTGTGTGTGTGTTTGGGCTGCTGACCGGGGGCGTGTGCGTCTCGGTGCCCTTGCTGGCGAGCCGGCTGAGGATGCTCCGCTCCGACATCTGCAGGCGGGCGGCGATGGGCGGGACTCGGGACAGCGTGGCGGGCAGCCGGGTCACGTCGGCCTTCATGTCGCTCAGCAGCTCCTCCAGCTGGTTCAGCACTGCAGCGACAAGAAGAAGAAGAAGAAGAAGAAGAAGAAGCATGAACCAAGAAGCTGTTACACAACAGCTTTCAAACGATGCTGGGCGGTTTTCCCGAACAAATCGACATTTCTTATTTTAACCACCCAAAGAGAAATTTTTTAATTCTACTTTTTTGTTTTTCCCTCTTGACACTGACTATTAGATAGTAACGTATTTATCAGATATAAGAGTTTATTTTCTTGATCTCTCTTTCATCACATCCTTACATGAAATTAATCGCTGATCACAAGCTCAGATAAAAAACGAGGATAAATGTTGCAACACAAACACGTACGGGATCACTTGGGAGCCAGAGAGGAAGTGTTTGGAGCCATCACTTAACACAGCGAGAGCTTATCTTCTCTACATGACCGAAGCTTTCTCGGGGCAAAGCCGTGCGGTCGGCACGGCAGGAAAGATTGCACAACAGATGGGTTGATCTGTATCTCTTTCATTGTTTGCCTGTGATTATCTGTCTGCCAATTTTTCCCTTCGACTTTTCCCTGAATCCGGTTGCCTAAACATCCTTGGCCGAGCTTCTCGCCGTCAATTATAAAAAGGAAATTAAAGTCAGTTCCCATCCCAAAATGTGACAAGGTTTCTGACAACACGGGATTGTTCTGATGAGAGACGCTTTAGTCTTTGGATGATCTAGTTGAATCGAGACAAGCCTAAAAACCGAAATCAGAAAAAGTTTATTTAATTCACACGGGGTCACGTGATGTTAAGATAAATGGGCCTTCGCATGTTGCAGAGACGCCACACACTTTCTGCAGCCATCTTGATGATTCTGCCTGTTTTCGTAATATTAAAAAAAAAAAAAAAACACACACAAAAACACAACAACCAAAGATGTGTTAAAAATGACCAAATATTCAATCACTTTCAGGATTTTAACCTTTAAAATGCCACATTAATTTCTTTTCTTTTATTATTCATTCAAAAGAAAAACAAAAAAACCCTCCATCAAATTCAAAAAATGTATTATTTTCCAGGAAAATAATAAGCAGGACGACGGCGACTACAGGCCGGGATGAGTCAAAGATGAGCAACGAAACTGATTTGATTGCATTCATATTTTTAGCAGCGACACCTTCCTGCCCAGAAAATGCTTCACAGATCGCAATAAAAAACAGAAACCTCTTCATCTCGGCGCCATGGCAGTATTTTGGAGAGCTGTTTGAAGGGTCATAAATCTAAGAGCTGTAACAGACTTAGGCCGGTCGGTTTTCCTGGTCCAGACTCGACTTAAAGTCATACTCCATAAATTTTTTAAAAGGACTAAAGGTGGATCCTAGCTGTCGATTTTAGGGGGAAATATTTATTTGGACATCATACTTTCTTTTTCCACAAGATGTTAACTAATAAATATCATCTGATCTAAACCATTCCACTGTGGCTCTGCATGTATCTTGTTTTGTTCTTCTGGAGGGACAGAAGAACAAAACCTGAAGGCTGGGAGTGGAAATGGATTCTCCTTAAACACCCCGATCAATTTTCTTTAATCACAGGGTGACTGTTTGGGGTCAGACGATTTAAACTTTGACTATTTGTGTCTATGTTGACCAGAAAACCCACAGTAAATCAAAACTTCAGCAGGAAATTCTTGTTTTCAGAAATAACTGAAGTCGTCTGTTGTACAACTAAGGGTGGATATTTATTAATGTGTCATTTATCATGAAAAATTTCTTATAAAAAATTAGATTTATTGTTGTCTAGGTCATTTTCAATTAATTGAGTTAAAAAAAACGTACAGTATTATGGGATATTTTTTTTCTTTACCATTTTCACCACTGTTTCTTCCATAAGAGCATCAATAAATATCAGTGAATTCCAAGATATGGTTAAATGCAGTTACTGTGTGCAGCTTAGTGATATAAATCACACTTCTTTAAGTGACTGGTGTCCTGGTGAAGAATGTTTCAAATAGGAACGTTTTTCAAACTACACAGTTACCTAAATCGATATTTTTAAAATCATTTCCGTCATTATTGTAATATATTACCACAAAATATTGCGATAATTGTTCATATTGCCCTTTACATCCCGGAAGAAGAAAAAAAAAAGTTTAAATCAGGGATAAAATACCAAAAAAGAACACCACACCCATGCCCAAGATGTGCATCTAAAGTCATGACCAGAACCGCGTCCTGTATCGACGGGGCGGCGTTGTCACCCACCTTTGTGCAGAACGGCGTTGGCTGGCTTGTTCCCTGCCAGCGACTCCTTGCTGAGGTGCTGGTGCGACTCGGCCAGGCACTCCACCTCGGCGAAGCGAGCGTTGAGCGCCATGGCCGGGTGGCTCGGGTCCTGGGTCATGTTGAGGTAAGCCGCCCGCCGCAGCTGCTCCTCGATCACCAGCGCCTGCTCCAGCAGCTGCCAGCACGGAAACGACTCGTTACATATCGAAAAACGACAGTCCTGGGGCTCGACAATACGGATGGAAGCTCGGATGAAATTATGTCATAAAGGAGGAAATCTGGGATGAAGACATAAAAGTTAGAAACCTAATAAAATACATGTTTGTATTACATGAAGAATTGATAATCTGACATTGATTATTGAGCTGTGACACTAAATATTTAGTGTCACAGCTAAATATCTCCACAGGAAATACTTCAGCTTAGGTATTAGGTAACAGGGGATATTTTAGTTTCGGGTCTGAAAATGTTAAATTCCTATTTACTGAGTGGGAGGAAAATGTCACTTCTTCCATACAGGAAATCTTTCTTCCTCATTTCTTTTTTGTCCACTTAACCATAATGTCATGTCATGCTGGTTTCACTGTTCCTTGGAAATGGGGTAACAACACATTGTTTCTTCTCTCTCTCTCTCTCTAGAACTTTGCTTTGTTTTATCTGAGAATCTCAGACGACTAACTAACTTATTTACCAACAGAAATGTTGCCAGGTGATGCATCTAGAACCAGAAAAAAAAAAGTCATGCAAGACTTGCAAGACAAAGCTTCATGTTTTCATTTTTGTTACCAAACAAACCATTAACTAAATATGAACAATAAGGACATGTAGTTGTTTGATTAGCTAATTCACAAAACAAGCAAAAGTTCCTAAGATTAATCCCAACATTAGCCACTGAAACTTTAAAAAAAACACCTGAGGATAAAGGAAATTATGAAGTGCTGTGTATATTTGGTCCCTCTCTTGTAATTGTTTAGCGGTTAGCAGTCTTTTCCAGACCTGCAGGTCTTGTCAAATCTTAAGTTGTTCTTCGAAATGACGGTATCGGCGTAGCGATAATGTGTTCTTCAAGCTGGATGCAACAAAGTCCATGAAGATCTGATGTAATAAAAGCATCTTAACCAAAATCCCAGGAAAAAGTTTTGTAAGACCTTCGCGGAGTAAATTAAAGAAAACATTAAATGATTGATTAATAGATTAAAAACTTTGATTCCCTGGAAGAAAAATATAAAATCTTGAGAAAACGCTATATACGGCTACTTTGACCTTGTCGTCGTTTGACCGAAGTATTAAAAAGCCACTTTTTTTTTTTTTCATTTTCCGAGTCTGAAAATTGAACATAAACAACCAATCAAGCAGGAAAGGCGAAGGTTCCCGTGTCACCCCTAGTTCAATACGTAATATGGATGGCACGGGTACAAAAGTTACAAAAATAAACTGCTTTTACACGCTCCTCAGTCATAAATAAAGGACACACAGTACTGTACGATCTGTAATTGTGAAAATGCTTTTTTATTGTTTGAAAACGTAAAACGAGCACGATTCCGGTCCTATTGGCAGCGCAGCTGGAAGGACGTGGGGTCAGGACGGACAGACGGACGGACGCGCCGAGGTCAGCTCGGATCGGCTCACAGTAGTTTTCCAACTCACAACGCATCGTTCCCAGATGCCAGTTTTGACATTCCAGACCAACGGAAACGCAGCTCTACCTCACAATAACGATGCGCTGTTACAGTTAACAGTTCCTGGAGCTGGAAATCGGATTTTTAAAAAACGTTCTTTATCCTTTTCCTCTTTCCTTTTTTTTTTTTTTTTTTTTTTTACACAGTGCTCCATATTTTATGTAAAAAGTTTCTGCACTGGCACAAGTTTATTTACTTCCAGGGAGAGAGACAAAGCTCTAGGAATCAATTGGCCGCAGCAACTTTTGGTATTGAGAATATCAGATTATTTTATTGATTTATAAAGTAAAGTCATGTAATAAGTGTTGCTGGCGTCCTAATATTTAGTTTTGAATGTACTTGTGCAGGAATATTCTAATATGCAACAATGTGCGCAAAATTTCAATCTTAAATTTGAAGTACTTAGTGACATTGTAAACCGTCAACTTCTAAGGGGCTGACCTGCAGCAAGTTGAACTGGTGTTTTTTTTTGTTTTTTTTTTGTTTCTTTATCACCTAAACCAAAATAGAAAACAAACTCTATAGGAGACAAATAATAATAATAATAATAATAATAGAAGTTAAAAAAAAGACACCTGTAGTGTCCAAAATGGGTATATTTTCGCTCATGCTCCGTTTTCCACAGTAAAAACACGTCTTGTTGACATTCCTCTCCTGTAATCTGAAACTCTGTATCCTGTGTGCAACAGCCAGTCTCTACTCACCATGTGTGATTCTATCAGGACAACACATGGGTCATAAAAGATGGAGCAAAGAATTTGATTGCTAGTTTATTTTCGAGTAATGCACAATCGACAAGGGATTAATCGCTCGGGAACAGAATGAGTTTATTTATGCTGACGAGGAAAAAAAAAAAAAAAAAAAAAAGAAAAAAACGAGGAATCTACGTCTCATTTTCCTTAAAACGTTTAAAGTTGTTAGGAAAATCCGTTTGAATTGTTTCAAGGTTTCAGTCAAATGTAATTTCTGAACACTTTGTGTAATTTCAGGATGAATTTAATGCTTATAATAACAGTGGAAAGCCATCGACTGAATACGAAAGCTTCCGCATTAAACTGACACAGTCGGCGCCTCGGATAAAATGCGAGTTTACTCAGAAATATTCTCTTTGCACTATTTGGCACACTGTTAAAGAAAAATGTGAAACACGTCAAACATGAATAAAAGAAAACCCAGGAGCCCCGAGTCAAAAAATATAGACTCCACTCTTGTTTACAACTGTATTGCAGGCATTTCATGACTAATTCAGGCAACCTGTGAATTAGTAGTGAGTCCAGGAAAACCTGGCTATATATAGCAGTGTTCCAAAACAGGGAGTTGTGTTACACAACCAATTACAGCTGACGGCATCCTGGAGGGAAATTTATGAGAAACTTTTCGTTTTTTTTTTTTATGTATGTGTGTGTGCACTGTTGTCACCAGATTTAAGAAAAACTTGAAGAATTTGGTAAAAGGGAGATGGCAAGAAACAGTAGGAGTTGGAGATACAGTAAATGAGGATGTTGAGGGAAGGATCTGAAACATGCAAACCGCTCAAAAACAGGATGAGAGCCCTTCCAGAAGTGCAGCGGTCAGCAGTACCACTCAGTCGATATGTGGGCCTTGGGGCATCCGTCATTTAACTGCTGGACGCAGTCAGGTGACGGAAGATACTGAGACGTTTTAGCCCTTTTTTATTTTTTTTTTAGCAATAAAAACCATTTCTTTTTGTGAAGTGAAAATGTGAAGAAAAGAAAAACACTTGGATAAATGTCTCTAATATCAGACATCAAACGCAAAGCGTAAAAAAAAAACAAACAAAAAAAAAAACAATCCTACCTTAAAACGCCGAGCCAAAAACTTGTTCTTCATTTCCAAGAAGTTTCCTTTATTTGCCTGCGACTTGAACGGCTCGTTGACGATTGCGAACTGTGGATCGTTCTGGATGTCCTGCCAGCGAGCGTAGCCGTGTCTGGTGAACAGGTCAAGGGTTATTAAACTGTCTGAGTCAGAGAAGGAGCTCCTGTTTAGGAAATTTCAACTAAAGCGAATGTCACAGCTTCGGATTCTGACTTAGTATTTAGAGACGAGAGCTTATTGTACAAACAAATCGCAGCATAAATGTGTATTGTGTATGTTATTAATTTATATTATTAGGTTGCAGCTTAGCAAATAGTGCCAAGACATATGAATAGAAATTAAGACCTGGACCTCCTCAGAAATGTACAAATTTTCACTTACTCATGATAGTCGTGGCACTTATGATAAATTTGTGCAAATGATAATAAAGATAACCCGCAGCTTTTCTTTAATCTAAGCTAGTATAAGAAATTAGCTTATATTAGCAGCTAGTTAGCGGTAGCTTCAACCACCTCGAGTCACAGAACATTCCAGCCCAGCCAACCATATTAAATGGCCCTTCCATGACAAAATTTAAGATCTGTGATTAATGGTTTTCCTGGGAAACTTACTTTTTTAAAATTTAATTTAAGTCATTTAAGACTTTAAGACTTTTTAAGGATGCGTGAACACGCTGGTACCAGTTTAATCCAAAAACTGCCTGTATAGAACAACATCAACTGACTTCCAGTAGAGGAAAAAAAAAAAAAAAAACCATAAACAAACACAGCGGGGTCATCCCCTGGGCAACCGCTGTCAAGGATACACCACGATTCCCGCCAGCAGCCAGAAGTCGTGTCGACGGTGCCAGATCTCGTTCATCTTACCCGAGGAGATGGCAGCCCGCTCCTCATTCTGCCACAGAGTGTGCAGCTCTGCAGGAGGAAAACAACGAGACCGCTTTCAGATCGCTTACCTTCCCAAGTCCCGACTGCAGCAGGTGTGTTTTTCCGCCACACACACCCGCAGCTTTTCTGGGTTCACGATCAGGTTCGGGGCAAATTTGGCTCCTTGGTGATATTAATTTTGAACCCTCTGAAAGCAGGACTTATGTGTCACATGTTTGTATAAGTGGGACATTTTATGTTGTTTAGACAACTGGACACGTTTCGGTCAACCGGTTAAAAGTATTTCCTGAATTACGCCTTTCTCTTTCATGTTTTTCTTTAAAAAAAAAAAAAAAAGAAAGTAGAAGTTGAATGTATTTTCCTGAAAAACTTGACTATTAAAATGAACTAGTAAATATACTGCAAATAACATGCGGTCATTACAAATTTAGGAGTTTTTCTAAGTATGCAATCCCAATAAAAGAGTTTTTTTTAGTCATTAATAACTGGAAGGATGACACTGCATTTCCCATGAAATATCATCCCACATAACACAACCTACTTTTACAAAGATGTTGCTTCATTCTTAGTTCTGTATTTTCACCAAATGTCATGTGTAAATAGCTGAAATCACACATCCAACCAGGCAAATGCCTCTACAATTCAACAGCAGTGCAGCCCTCATCTGTGACTAAAGTCCTTATATTGTGAAGCTCAGGGATTTTTTATCGATGTTACTTCAATCATAAGATCATTTTTTTAGTGAGTGACAAAATATTCTTCTATAAAAGCCAAAAAAAACCCAGAGCTGACCTGTGAAGCCGCCGTCTGCGATGTTGAACATGAAGCGCGGCCGCTCGGTCTGAGGCTTCCCGTTACCCTTTGTCGTCTCCTCCTTGGCTGCTTTGATCTCTTTCCCGGCATCCCTTTCACCTTTGACCTCTTCTGCTACAAAAATAGACACCTACTTATGCAAAAGTAACGCACGTATTCCATCATTCTTAAGAAGGCTATCGCACCTCTCTTCAGGTCAGACGCCTCGGCTTTTTCCCTGGCTTCTGCTGCCTCTGAAGATGTTTGCATTTCGTCCCTCTGTTCTTTCTCCTTGTCCTCCCCGGGCTGCTCTCCCTCTGCAAGTGCAAGCTCTCTTAAGTCACACAGATCTTTTTTTTTTTTTATTAATATTATTTTTATCCATCGATGCGGAACAGCGTAAACGTGATTCACCTGACTTCTTTTCCGTAACGTCTGTGTTCTGTTTACTCTCCTCTTTGCTGTCCTCTTGTCGTTTGTTCTCCTCTGATGCTGAAAACTCGGTCGGCTCCTTCCTGTCGTCCTCCTTGGTGTTACTCTCTTCTTTGCCGTCCGTCTTTTGACTCGGCGGTGCCTTCTGCGACGATTCTTTTGTTGAGGACGAAAGCTGCCAAGAAGAGAGTGACGCAATCATTTTTAGTATATTCTAAAATTTTACGCAAAGCTTTTAAGTTATTTGAAAAGTCATAAGCAAATCTGGTTGTAGAACTCGATGGTTTATCCACCAAATTTTCCCCAAAATCTTTTCAGATTTCATTAGAATAAAAGTACAAACTGAAGTCTATATTCATTAGGATTTTATGTAATAAACCCACACGACATCTTATGATTTTTTTTTTTTTTTACAATTACAGCTGGAGTCTATTGAGATGGCAACATGTTTTGAGCCAAACCTCTCCCCTGTAGCTGTTTATCGGCTGCGACCTCTAACACAGATTCTTCAAGTTTTCCTCTATTTAGCTCATCCATCAACTCTGACCTGGTTTCCTGTCGCTCCTGAAGAAATGCATAATGCGGCCACCGCCGTGTTTTGCCACAGGACTGACGATGTGTTAGTCTCTTGTCACATGTGGAGGTTTCCGGGGGAGCCAAAATCGCCTCATTTCGTTCTTATCTGATCTCGTCACCTATTTCCACATGCTTGCGGTGTTCCCTGTATGGGTTACGGTAAACTGGGAAGGGGAACTCTTCACTTCCTGCTACCAGAGGGCTACTCCTTACAGCTCTTGCATAAAGGTCATATTTTTTGGAAAACATGTCTGGCCTAGGAGTCAACCTGTTCATTACTGAGTCTTCATAAAATTTTAGAGAAAGAAAATATTTGATGTCTTTACAGTAAAATAACTTCGGATTGTGTTGCATCTGGTTCTTATTTTGTTTCTTTTCTGTCGTTTTACTGATTTACATGTAAGAAGTGAAATGATTTGAGCTTTTCATATTAATTTAGTTTAATTTGACGTGTAGGACAGGCATAAATATGAACCTCGTGTTTTTGTCTGCACGGTTTCAGTCAAGCTGTTTAAATTGTTACAGTGCTTTGAAGTATGGATAAAAAAAAAACTGTTTGATGACTGATTGAATAAATAATAATAAAAAAAACAATAAATCAAGTTTGTGTTTGTAAATGTGTACAATGGTCATTAAATGTTTTGGCTTTACTTTCACCTTATTTGACACCAGCCTATAATTATATATAAAAGTTTATGCTATAATTGTGAAAATTAGGAAAATATTCTCCGGTAGTTGAATTTTTCTGTGAATCTCACATAATTTAGACTTTCTTCTTACTCCAGCTGAGTGGCTGAGGTTCTAGGGACACTGCCTCACCTCCTCGGCGTCGCCGGTCTTGCTGCCGTCCACCTCTTTCTGTTGCTCCTTCTCCTTCACTTTCTCCTTTTCCGCGGAGGCATCAGCCTCCCCTTTCTCCTCCTCCTTTTCGCCCTCCTTCCCGTTCTTCTCCAGCCTCTCCGAGGGAGCAGGAGTCGCTGTGTGCGTTCAGACAGACAAACAAACAAACAAACAAACGTGAACGACAAGTCCAACTCCGGGGAGCCTTTAGTTTGGAGCGCCCCCTGCTGGATCTACAGCCCGTCGCGTCGGCTACCTGGCTTCGAGGTGCACGGCGTGTTGTTGAAGCTCGCGTCGGGTGTGGGAGTCGCAGTCTTTGCGGCGGGAGAGGAGGCCCGGGAGGAGGATTTGTCAACGCTGACCTCGGGTTTGAGCTCCGGAAGACTCCACCGTCCGTTGATGTGCTCAAACTCTTGGATCTGGGCACGAGGAAGCCAAAACAGAGCAAAAAAGAAATTGAATAAAAGCCTGAGTGCATAGTTTATCAATTATAATATATATTTTTTTCCCCTAAATAAACCAATGGCATGCCGTTTGGACTTGGCAGCTTATCAAACATTTCCCCTCGGTACAGACAGCAGATCAGGACGGCTGCAGGCCTAAACAGGTTGGACCGCAAACTGGGTGGAAGATGTTTAAATGAAGTAAACTGGCAAACTGGAAGCTGCAGAAATCAAAACAACTCGCCGGAGGTCTTTGCAAGAAAGAAGTTTGGAATTTGTGTGATTCTTTTTTGTTATCCACCTGCAGCAATTAAGAGTTTCTAACCAGTCAACATGCATTTTTATCAAAGTTGTTTTCTGACTGATGTTGAATTTTAAATATCAGAATCCAACTTTGTTCTGTTTCAGGGGGGGAAAACGACTGCACTGGCTGACGTTTTGAGGAACCTCCAGCATGCTTATTTACGGAAATTTTAGTTTTGATCACAATTATTTACTTTGCGCTTGTACTCGACGCGCTGCAGCCAACACTGTCGCCCGAGCCGCAGTCACCCCTCGGTCTGAAACGTTTGTTTAAAAACTCATTTCTAAAAGCTCCAGACTGCTGTTAGTGATCAGGAGGGTCTCATTCTTTGGGCAGAGTTAGACTAAACATCATCCTGTGGTGTTACATGATGATTGGGAAACAGAATGGGCAAAAAAGAAAAAAAAAAAACAGAGGAGGAAAGATCAAATGGGCTTTAACTCTGGTCAGACTGTTTAGAACTGTGTGTTCTTTGAGGGAGATGTTGTCTTTTTGGGCTTTTTTTTTTAGTTGCAACAGAGTTTCTGCAGGCCTCACTAAATCAAATTTAAGACCTTTTTACGATCATTATGAATGGAATGCAAGACTTATGTCCACAGAAATGTATGCATTTCGTCCTGCCAACTGGTGATAAATTTGCACTTACTCATGATGGACACAGAAATGCTAGCTAGCTAACTGAGTGCAACTCAGACATTTTCTGAAAAGTCCCCAAAAAAACAGAATATGCAAGATTTAATAGTCCAGTCTAGACAAAACTTAAGACCTGTGATTAACTACAGGCCAGCTAATTTTAAAAATGAATTTCAGACATTTAATGCCTCCGTGAATGAAAGATGTCATGAAGTTAAGACTTTTTAAGACGCGGACACACTGTGTGCTAACAAAACTAGCCAAAGGGAAAACATCAATTGACATCTATAAACCTGACATGTTCTCCTTTTGTCTTTTTGACAAACCGCCTGTTTCAGATTAACAGAACCAAAATGTGGTCACAACCGTCTCTGTTCTGCCCCGTCTGTCATTTTCTGACCTTCTTCTTGACCAGAGACATGACGCCGATACGCGTCAGGACGAGCTGCCGACACAAGCCCTCCCTCGGGACGCCGTCGGCGAACGTCTCGGCCCCGTCGGCGACCGGCTCGCACAGGTGGCGCATGAAGAGAGACACGTAAGCTCTGCATGAAAAAGAAAAGGCAATAAGTTGATAAAAAAAAAACCAAAAAAAAAAAACTACTCAGTCAGATGAAGATAAACAGACTTGGTGTTTTGTTGTTTTTGCTTACTTGAATTCCTTCTCGGTTTTCCCCCTGAGGTCCCTAACGAGCCACTGAGACGAGAACGCGTCCTGAGACGGCATACCCCAACGCATCACCGCGTTCAGGAAGGCTTTGCGCTGCCGTGTGTTGAAACCAAGAACCTATCGAGGGAATAAGAAGCATTTCATTTTTCTGCAAAGTGGCGCTGAGGACAGCTGAAGAGCTGGGGAAAAAAAAACACCTGTAGTTTGTAAAAAGTATCTAAATCCCTTGAACTTATTTACTTTTTTTTTCACACAACTGCAAACTTCACTGTAGCTTACTGAGGATTTGTGGCATACAGCGACAAATCAAGACATAATTGTGCAGTCAAAGAAAAGGTATTCATAGTTTTATATATAAACATCAAAAAAGTGTGATGTCCCTTTGTATTAAAGCATTCTTTACCCCATTAGAGATCAATTCTGGTCTCAGCTGTTTAACAATAGACAGTAAATCTATGGAGGACAGACGTTCCGTTCAGATGAGATCAAAATAAAACATTTTAGTTGATAAAAACTTCAGCCTGTCCAAGTGCAACGCTATTACAGGCAGAACCCGAAAGATTTGCACTCAAAGGTTGTTCAACAAAATATCACTTATTATAAATGCACTCCACACTTTTCAGATGTGTATTTATACAAACAGTTGAAAATCCCAGCAAAAAAGTATCGATGGTTACGGTTGTAACGTAAAAAAAAAATCTAAAACAATTCCAAGACTTGTGAATACTTTTGTAAGGCACTATGTAGCTCCAGGAGACGTTTTTTAAAAAAGGTTTTTCTGAGAAAGTTCAGCAGCTTGATAATGACAAAATAAACTTAGAGTCAAAACATGAGCGATGGAGACCAATGTAATTACACTATCAGGATAAACAAAAAAAATCACTTTTTTTTTTAGAGATGGATTAGCTTTACAGTGAACTCTCGTTTAAGATAAGATTTTTCACATTAATTATGAAATAAACAGAGAGCCGGTTTAGACCCATTTCCAAAACAATCACAATCAAACAGCCCAGAAGTTGAAGGAGGACTTATTGTTTCGGTGGACAGACCTCTAGGTTGCCTCCCACTCTGGCCAGAAGAGGAGGCAGAGGTTTATCTTTCTCATTCCTCAGCTGTCGACGTGACTGCCTCCGACCTGCGAACGAGAGCAGCCAACAGAAACCGTGTGACAAGCCACGGAGGAATATTAGCTGAGATTAAGGAGAGACTATTAACATTATGTTACAGATTTATCCTTAGATTTATCGCCGGTGGATGTCAAGGAATAAAAAAAAAACAAAAGAAAAACACAATCCGTATGTGATTGAAGTTTTTTCTTCCATCTCTCTCTCCTGTAGGAGATGGTTGGAATTCTTGGCAGTCTAAACTCACGCGGGTCTGCCAGAAAAAGCCGCAACGACTAAATCAAAGTCAGACTGTGATTCAACGCAGACCCGCGGGCGTGTCGGACAATCTTTCACGAGTAGTTTCCTATTGATTTGACGTGTCATCTTCTGGATTTCTGTCTTTGTTTCTATCGCTCCTTACCTTCTGGCCGATCGTCGAAGTCCTCGTCCTCCTCCTCGGAGCCCACGGAGTATTCGGACTGGTTATCTGAAATGTCAGCATGCCACTCTGAAACAGCACACGGTGCTTTGTCAATAGGCCAGGCCCATTCCCTTCCACTCTGCAAATAATGCCTTACACCCCAACGATTCTCAGGTAAAACACCAACCCAGTAAATTGGGTTGTCCTAAACAATATTTCTTTTTTTAAACACAAGCTTGATCCTCTTCCTACAGCATCGGCAGCATGAAACAGCTGGTAGGATTTCGCCAAACTCATGTGAGCCTCCCCAGATCCAAAGCCGGTCATTACCTTGGTCTTCCTGCGCAGCGTCGTTGTAGTTCACAGGCTTGCGGTTCCTCTTCCCTTTACCTAGCTTGCTGGCCAGGTCCTCCTGCTGCTGCTCGTAGTGATGCCGCAGCAGCTTCTCCCAGTAGTCCGGGTCCACGTTCTCCTCCTGCTTGATGATCTCCCGCTCGATCTCCTCAATCTACAGGCACACAGATTGGAAAAGGCTAATTGCGTAGACTCATCGTACTGTAATGTGCAGTGGCGGGAGACGGTTTCCCAGAAGTCACATTGGGGACGAAGCAAGTAATTCAGAGCACAGCTGAATTAATTTGTGGCAGAAAACTAAAACAAACTGGGGTGAGAGGTCAGAGGTCACAGCGACCCTCAATGTCAGTTGTGGTCGATGTGGACTTGACGTTTCATCATGATAATTTGCGATAGCAATAACAGTTGCGATCACAGAAAGGTCTTGGGAACTATTTATTACATCTTTTTCAGGTAACCGTGACTTTAGCCATAGAAATACAAATAACGCTTTTGAAAAATATTCCCAGGGTAATTTGTATCACTAAATTGCACGGAGTAATTGTATTTCCAAATTTGTTGGTATTTATTGATGCTTTCATTGAGTGGAACAAATAGTAAAACTATAAATCAATGCTGGGGGTGGGAGGTTTTAAAGATCATTAATTAGAATTTATCATAACAATGATGAATCTAAATTGTTGTCATGATAAGAAATTTATCACGAGAACAATAAACAATATACATATCTATAATATGTATATCTAGAATGTTATCTATTGTATATCTATACTGTGTGCAGTACGTACTATATCTACCATCCTAGATGTAGATATTGTAGATATGCACCACCATATCTAGAATGACTCAGTAGAACTGCAAATCAAATTGAGATTCTGCTACAAGACTAGACTAATGTTCAGGAGCTGGTTAGACAACCTGAAAACAATTTAGCATTAGATACAATAGGAGCTAAAAAGCCAACGTGTTTAATAGGGAATTTGAAGGTTTAATCTGGTCAAATATGACGTCAAGGTTCCTGACATCTTTGGTGGAGGTCAATTTAATCCCATCCAAGGTCAGGAAGTAAATACGGCTGTTTTTAGATGTTCTGGTCCAAAGACACCAACCTCTGTCTTGACTGAATTTAAAAACATTATGTAAAAGCCATAAACAGTTTGGATGTGTCGAGGCCTGCCTGCAGTCTAATTAACTCGTTGGATTCATCATCACCCTGCATCGCTCTATAATTACTTCTGGCGTGAGAGGGAGATTTATCATTTAGATTAACACATAAACTAACTGAACTCTGTCAGACAGATGTGATGTAAACAAGCCCAGCGCTGTTCTCGTGATCCCTGCGGCGTGTCGGAACCGCGGTGTGTCCCTGCCAGCAGAGGCGTTAATATCGCCACCTTGGTTTATTAATGCCGTTTCAAACAACAAGCGAAGCGGCGCTTGTGAACGCTGCCCAATTCTAATCATCTGACTGCTCATCTGCACCGGCAGCTGGGAAACGAAAACAGTCATGAAATCGGGAGAGAGCTTTCGGCACGGCTATAAATAGAGTATTGACCTATTTAAAGTCTCCGACAGGTGAAGATAAGAGACCATCAGCCTGAGTTATAATCCAACTTTATCTCTTTGCTTAAGTACAGTGATTTCACTGGGCTGTGTGTATTTTTTTGTTTGTTTTTTTAAAGCAGCCCTAACCTCTGGACTTTTAAACATGGCACACCACATGTTTTGATTGGCTGCTGTTACCAGTGAACCCGCCTCCATCTCCTGTTGAAAGAGGCTTTCCTCCTGTTTCGGCAGCAAAACTGGTGCTGGGTTAGAAACTGGGCAAAAACGCCCCTCATCGACATGGTACCAGTTTATTCTGACACAGCCTTTATGTTTTACATGCTACTTGTCAGATTTTTTTTATTTTTTTTATCATCATTGCCTTTTAATAAGAAGAAGAGCTCTCTTTTTTTCTCATTGTGAGTTTCCAGGAAGTTTGCAATATGACTCCTGATATAGAGATAGTGTCAAAATGATACAAAAGGATAAACTTGGCAGCGTTTAGTTTCTAGGTTAACTAATATTCTCTGGAAAGGAAATGACAGCGCTGCCATTAATCTGCAGCAGAGCAGCCTCCCTGGAGCGTATACAGTTTCTGGGCCGAAGACCAAATAAATTAAAATGTTTATTTTGGATGATTCTGCTCTGCATCCTCAATACTAGAGAGCTCCAGGTCTCTCCGTCTTCCTTTTTGAGTGTGTGTAAGTAATGCAAATTGTAAAAGAAACTCTAAACCAGAACTTTCGCTGTTTGTGACAAGTGTGTGCAAACAAGAAAGAGCTTGTTTTAACTCTAACATCCGAGATACAAACAATACAACGTCGCATACCCCAAAATTCTCTTTAGCCCTGCCAGGAAGCAATCCGTTCAGTACACATCCGCGCAACTTTGTGACTCTGCGTCGCCCCTGCTTCCAGCTCACCTTGTCCTCCTCTCGGACCATGTACTGGGCGACCTTAAAGGAGCTCAGGTACTCGTTCATGTTCTGGACGTCCGAGTCGTCTGTGGCGTCCTGGCTGCGGTCCAGCAGCCTCTCGATGGCGGTGCTGTCGTAGTGGATGACGCTGCCCTCGTCCTCTACTTTGTCCCCAGAGTTGTTCTTCATACCTGGCAGAGGCAGAGTCATAAAAGCTCGTTAGAGGCTGTGGCTAATTATTATTTTAGTAATCGGTTATTATGACGATTACTCAGAAAACAAAAATGGTCACATTCTGCAGATTTTTCATTCAACTATTTAAAGCTATTTTACATACTAGAAATACATTAAAAACATACAATTGTTAACTACACTTTAGTTAGCGATTAATCAAAGTACTCGTTGACGATCTTTTTGATCGATTAATCACGATTAAACCGATTAATCGCTTCAGTTGATATGGTTTCAATCAGCAGAGCAAGCTTCGCTAAAACCCCAGCCCGACACGCGTCATTTCCTCACCTTCTCCTTCATCCTTGAAGAGCTCCTCCGTCCCAAACTTGAGGATGTCATCCAGCTCCTGCTTCGTCATGGAGCCGGCCTTGGATCCCAGACCTGGCCGCACCACCAGGTGGGTCAGCATCATCTTCCTTTTGGCTACCTGGGTGATGCGCTCCTCCACGCTGGCTCGCGTCACGAAGCGGTAGATCATCACCTTGTTGGCTTGCCCGATGCGATGAGCTCTGCTGAACGCCTGCGCGGGAAACAGCCCTGTTTCCGTTAAGGCGCGAATAAAGGTGACACCGAAAACCTTTACTGCGGAGGAGCTGAACTGCACCTGAATGTCGTTGTGGGGGTTCCAGTCGGAGTCGAAGATGATGACCGTGTCGGCCGTAGCCAGGTTTATGCCCAGACCTCCGGCTCTGGTGGAGAGCAAGAAGCAAAACTGACACGCCCCGGGAGCTGCGAGTGTGAGAGGGAGAAAAAAAACAACAAAAAAACGCAAATAAATGTGGAATGAATGCACTTTAAATACCAGCATAACTGGGATTGTATTCAACAGAAATAAAATGTGCCATGGTGTGCAAACAGGCAGTATGAAGTTAAAATCTAAACAGTAATAAACACAAGACTGTATAATTGATTGACTGGATGTTTATTAAAACACTAACGTGTAAAATCTTTTGATTTCAATGTTTTTCAACATGCTTGAAAAATACAGAAACCTGAAGTGAAACCTGCACGGAATTAAGGAACTGATTGGATATTTTTAATAAACACAGATCGGGACTTTATTTAAGTGCAAAAAGGGGATCTCTGTGTTGTTCTTCAAAACATTTGAACCTGATATTGTGTATCTTCTTATGTTTTATCACTACAGCCCTAATAATGATAATAATGACTCTCCTGTCTTACCGTTGAATCTGTCGATGGCCTCTTGTCTCAGTGCGCCTGTGATGCCTCCATCAATCCTCTCGTACTTGTAACCCTCATAGTCCAGAAAATCTTCTAATAAATCCAGCATTTTAGTCATCTACAAAAAAACCCCCCAAAAAGATACAGAGGAAATCTTTGATCGCCCATCCTGAAACTTCAAAGTGTGTTCATGAAGTTGCTCAGAAAACGTGCATGTGGATGTGTTCCTCTGTGTTTATCCACGGTCTGTGTGTGTTGTGTTTCTACCTGTGAGAAGACCAGAACTCGATGCCCCTGATCTTTCAGCTTCCTCAGCATCTTCTGCAGCAGCGTCAGTTTCCCAGAGGCCTTGGTGAGGGCCGAGCCTTCGTACGCCCCGCTGGGTGTTTTCTGGGCTTCCTGCAGGAACATGTGTAAAATAAAAGAGTTAACACTGGGGGACTCGTTGGGGTTTGCTGGCTGAATTTAGGGCATGGGAGTTGCACTACCACGTCTCACCACAGGATGTCGCTATACAGCAAGTTCAGGTTTATCAAAGTTATTTGCTCAACAAAGTGGTTTATTTGAAGAACAAACTTCAACTTTCTAGGCTTTAGATAGAGTTTGTAGAGATACGTATATAGAGATAGAGGGTTTTTTTGTATAAATGTTTCCTTATGTTCTCACCATGGAGGCGACAGGGAAGAGGTACGGGTGGTTGCAGCACTTCTTCAGGTCCATCATGATGTTGAGCAGAGACACCTGGTTTCCTCCGCCTTTCGAGTTCAGAGCCTCGAAGTTCTTGGTCAGAATCAGCTTGTAGTACTTCCTGTTTTTCCCAAAGCAAAACGACAAAGCCATGAAATTAGGAAAAAATAATCAGTGCAAAGCAAAACAAAATTCTTTTAACGAGAAAATAACACTCAGGAAAAAGGAAAAAAGGACAATGAAATGAATGAATCGTGTTTAGTGAGAAGCACTCTAAGGAAGTCCTGTTAAATTCACTTTGCATTGAAAAAAAAAAAAAAAACATGTTGAAAACTTTCATCCAGTTTGAATTCAATAATGTCCTAAAGGCTATTTGTCAAGCAAACGTTGTAAGTCCAAAACTGAAATGTACTTCTTATGAAAATAGAGCAAACATATTAATTAATGTTTCTTTGAAATGCTCTAGCCTTAACTTCAAGTAAGATTGAAAAGTAAAGCTAAAAATGTTTACAACTGTGTAAGGACATGTAAAATAAATGTAATTAAATTTAATTCCGTGTGTGTTGGTGCCTGACATTTAATGGTGTTAACTACAGCAAGTTAGTAACTAGTAGGCAAAAATGACTCTTTATAGTGTGGGCACAGAATAAAAGCCACAAATGTCTTGCCATAAGAGCAAAACTACTAGATAATGTGGAAAGCAACGGTAAATAAAAACAACCACGTAGGTCTCCAACCACCTATTTAGGCATTAGTTTGGCGTGGAGTGGAGTAACTCGAGGCTTATTTTCATTTCACACGTGTGCAGCTTCTTACTGAGTCACGATCGCTGGTGACAGATGGTACACACACACACACACACACACACACACACGTACGTACCGCTACACCGATTGCGTTTAATTGTTAAACTAGTTATTTGTGTGAAGCGTACTTCTGCATGGGGCTCAGCTCCACTCTGACAATCAGCTCGGTCTTAGCCGGCATGTTCTTAAACACGTCGGCCTTGAGCCTCCGCAGCATGTGAGGCCCCAGCAGGTCGTGGAGCTTCTTGATCTGGTCCTCTTTGGAGATGTCGGCAAACTCTTCCAGGAAGCCCTCCAGGTTGCTGCGCGGAAGAAGAGAGTCGGTATGAAAAACAGCCATCCGGCTTTAATAGCGGAGGGAGAAAGGGAAAACATTTGCTTAAGAAGAGGAGTCGCACTTAAAGCGATTCGGGGTGAGGAAGTTGAGCAGGTGAAACAACTCTTCGAGGTTGTTCTGCAGAGGAGTTCCAGTCAGCAGCAGCTTGTAGTCGATTTTGTAGTCATTTAAACGCCTGAAGAACTGCAAATACGCAAAGAAAGAACTGAGCTCCACTGATCAGGTCACTGCAGAAAAAGACAAATCCGACTCCTATCGTCATTAACAAAAGAAGTCTTTCAGCTGTTTCTTAAGGAAAGATATTTTTTATCCCACATCCTGGTTACAACAGACATACAACAATTATTTTAGGAATCGATTGTTCGGATGATTAATCAGATAAAATAGTGCGTACATTCAGCAGATCTTTCATTTGAAGAAAGATCTGCTTTCATTTAGATTAATCTATTACTAAATTGGTTGACCATTATTTCAACAATCTATTAATCGCGATTAATCGCGGTTAATCCGATTAATCGTTTCAGCCCGAGCATTAACAGTGACAGAGCAGCGGCACCTTGGACTGGTTGTTTTTGAGGCGGTGAGCCTCGTCCACCACCAGACACGCCCAGTCGATGGACTTGAGCGCCGTCTGATCGATGGTCACCAACTCATAGGAGGTCAGAAGGACGTGAAATTTAATGGGAGCCTCGCGCTGCAGCAAGGGAAACAAGAAAATAAGAATAAACGGATGCTTTTCTGAAAGAAAAAAAAAAGTCGGAGTTGTTAGCAACCATTAGCGCCGTCTCACCCTGAGTTTGAAGGCCTTCTTTCCGGCTTTGATGGAGTCGTCGAACGTGAACTCGTTCTCTCTGATGATGGCTCGGCTGTCTTTGTCTCCCGTGTACGTCACCACGTAAAAATCGGGCGCCCACATCTCGAACTCCCTCTCCCAGTTTATAATAGTGGAGAGGGGCGCACTGACCAGGAAAAGACCCTGTGGGTGGCCCGGAAAGGAAAAAAAAAAAAAAAAAAAAAAGGGACGGTGTCGGTGAATCGACAGAATCAGAAAACGCGATAAAGCAGAAATGATCCCAGCAGTACCTCCTTGAACAGTGAGTAGAGAAAGACGATTGTCTGGATGGTTTTGCCCAGACCCATTTCATCGGCCAGGATGGTGTCGGTGCCCTGAGCCCAGGAGAAGCGCAGCCAGTTGAGGCCCTCCAGCTGGTAGAGGTGCAGGGTGCCGCCGGTCGCCGTGACAAAGTCGGGCTGCTCCTCGTACTTGATCGTCGGCTGGAGCAACAACAGCAAAGAAAACAGTGAGGCCTTTTAACTCCATTCTACAACGACACACTATTACGACGGTCAAAAATCATCAGGCTAAAAAAGTATCATAATCAGTTTATAAGAAGCTTGGTTTCATACAGTTAAGTCATAACAGCTGTGTTCATCGACAATGTGGAAAAAAAGTTCAGGTTCTCTCCAAATTCAAATTCTTTTCACATTTTCCAACAAGCAAGAATGCAAAGGTTCACTATGACAGATGGTTCAGTAGAGTTTAGGTTTTAAATGTAAGAGGAGCTAAGGAATATAAGTATTTTCCATCCTTTTCTCAGACTTAGCTTTCCAGAGTTCTCAGTGATTTATCGTCATTTTAATTGTTACAATGAATTTGTGATGAGTATTTCTGTGGCAAACAGGCTTTAAATACAGAATATGCAAAGGAAAAAAAGAGAGAAAGACAGACAAGTAAGAAAGATTGAAGAAATTAAATGATAATTAGAGATTGTGATTAAAACGTATAGTCTGAAAAGGTTTCCGTAGTTCTCCATATCTGGAGGATAACCGTTTCCATACGTTCCTATACTTTTGTAGGCTGCGTCGAAACTCTGTGAACTGAATCTCGTCAGAATAGTCGGTCCGCATTAACCTGTCATTCACAGGTTGTCATTCACAATGACAGGGGTGTCAAACTCCAGTCCTCAAGGGCCGCTGTCCTGCAGTGTTTAGATGTGCCACAGGTAAAAAACAGTGGAATGAAATGGCTTAATTACCTCCTCCCTGTGTAGATCGGTTCTCCTGAGCCTTGCTAATGACCTAATTATTCTTTTCAGGTGTGGTACAGCAGAGGCACATCTAAAAGTTGCAGGACAGCGGCCCTTGAGGACTGGAGTTTGACACCCTTGTCACGAGAGGACCCAAATTTGGGTCCTCTCGTGAATGACAGGTTAAATGAGGCAGAAATCATAACAGAATACAGTTCTAAGAGTGTTTTCCTCAACAAATTTTGCAGAAAAAAATTTAAAGAGTTCAGGAAGCAGACCGCGGCCACTGTTCACCTACATCTGTGAGTGGGGAGGAAAGAGACTCCTCCTCTTCACCGTCTCCCTCCTTGCTCGTCATCTTCCTGGGTTTATCGGGGTCTTCCTTCAAGATGTTGTCCCTGTTGAATGATAACAAAGACGTCATTAAGACTCTGTTGATGCTGCCTTAATTCTATCAAGAACAATTTGTGACGTAGGGCAGAGTTAACAATAAATATGTTTATTAATCCCTTAAAATAAAAAGCCTTTGTCTTTTTAAATCAGCTTTTGTGTATTTTCTTGCTTCTGAACCAGTGTGTGTTCAGCATGTCTGTGCAGTCCAACCTGTGCCTCCAGTAGTTGGCCTTGTGGAGTTCAAAGTCGGGTATATCCATGTCATCTCTCTCCCAAGTGCACTGGTCATAGGTCAGATCTTTCCACTTTACCAGGTAGTGGTACATCCCCTTTTTATCCACGCTGGCAGAGGGACATGTGGAGGTCAGTGAGCAGCATCTCGCACAGCCGCCTCACACACTCTCGGAGGTGCAGTCGACCCTACCTGTGGTTTATGATGCGGTGAATCATCATCCACTCGGGCTTGATGCCGTACTTGTAGTATTTGTCTTCCAGCAGGGCGTAGTGGGGATCCTTGGCCCGCCTCTTCTCGCTCTTGCCCACTCCGTTCTCGTCCTCTGCGCCCGATCCGTAGTCCAGGCTGGGGGGCTCGTCCATGTCGGTCTTCCTCTGGTAGTTTCTGTACATCACCGAGTGGAAGATCTCCAGCTAAAAGACGAACGCGAGTAATAAGAAGACGCCAGATGTAATCGCCGCTCAGAGTTTGTTGTTCTTTCTGTAACAAGCATGCTTTTAGAGATTATATATTCCAGTTAACAATTAATCAATTAGTAAATTAGATAATCCTGTTAATTGTTTCAACCCTGCTCTTCTGTAGTTGAAATCCTATGTAGATGTTAAAATGTCCCAGTCAAAGTTCAAATCTACATCTGATTTAAAGTATATGGAAAAATGTGAAACTTGCTGGCGCTCCTCATACAGAGTCAAAGGGTATTAATACTTTTGCAAAACTCAAGTGTATGTTTGCTATGTTCATCAGAGATCTTCATCTTTGGGTTTGGGTATTATTTTGTGCCATATTATGTATTTTTTGGACTAAAAAGCTGTTTTAGGCTACACCCCCAGGGGGCACTAAGGAGCCTCCTAAAGCTGGAAGGAAACTTGAGAAAAAAATAGAAATATATATCAATAAAAAAAATCCTACATTTTAATCTGAATTTTTGAATCAGAAAATGTAATCTGTTTTTCAATTGCTATTATAAAATATAAGTACAAAATAGTTTCACTGAATTTATCAAGCCGCTTTGCTCCTCAAACTAGCATGGCTAATATGAAATGGACAAGTTTCTAACAAGAAAAAGACAGAAGGAACCGTCCAGGAGACTTGCTGTGAAGAATACTGCTGCAAAACATGCTGAAAACTCACAGCCAGATGAAATCAGAATGTATGAGGCTGTTTTTATGTTAAACGAACGTATTAATTATTCAATAGACAATAAAACCCAGAAACATGATCCTAGAAGTTGATGTTTCTTTCAATATTTTGCAGTGTTGTCTGTAGGTACGCGAAGGGGTCCCCCTAAAAGCTAATGGCGTTTGGGGGGAGGAGGAACATGGGATGGAAATGTCTGGGACTAGAAACACAAAATGTTATCAAAATGTTATTACTGCTCCCACCTGCAGCTCGGTGATCCAGGTGCAGTGCCAGTACGACTGGCTGGTTAGCTTGACAAAAAACTCCCTCTCAGCTCTGCCCTTCATGGGCGGCGGCATCGGGGCGTCAGGAGGAGCGTCCGGGGGCAGCGGGACGGGAATGGGAGGAGGAGGCTCGCCCCACCTCCAGTGGAGGATCTTCTGGACCCTCCCTTTGATTGGCGGGCACTGCAGTGAGGACACATGTCCAAAATGGAATCTCAAAAGTTCTTCCTCGAGTTAAAAAGCGATTCGTGCGACGTGAACTGACCGTGCACCGCGGACAGAGCCACTCCCCGTTGGGGATCTCGGGCAGCGGGGGGTTCAGACAGTGAATGTGGTAGGAGGACGTGCACGTGTCGCAGCACAACAGCTCGCCGCCGTCCTTGCACACCCGACAGAACTCCATGTGGTCGTCCTCCTCCTCCTCCGCGCCGGCGGGAACCCCGATGCTGACCTCGGATATCACCCTGTCCTCGCTGTCCTCTTCGAAATCCTCAAAGTCTTCGTCTTTCGCCTCCCATTGAATTCCCTCTTTTTCCTGCATAAAGAACAAAAAAAAAAAAACAAATGACAGAAAGGGTAATTGGGGTCATTTATATCTCTGCACTTGAACCTGGCAGTAGAGAGAGTAGGAAAGCGAGAGCGACAGGCTCAAAGGGTTCAGCCTCTAGGGCAAAAAAGAGCCAGAGCTGCAGCTGAGATGCGTTGTTCTCTTTCGTGTGAATGTGAGTGGGACATGAAGTGTCAGAGAGTCGGACTCGGGAGACTCTGAGGAGTTCATGAAAAATAGATCAGCGCTTCATGTCAAACCATCAGGAGGCTCAGCGTATGAAAAAGGACTGACAGAGTCATGTAGCGCCTGCCTCCTGCGACCCGTTTCCCTGGTCAAGTGTCTCAGAGTGCAACCAAACGATGCAGCAGGTGCACATGGGAATAGTTTAACCTCACTATACAGTGAGGTTAAAAGTTCTACCCGTTTAGTTTTTCTTTGGGCAGTTGTGCTTAGCTTAGCACCAAAACGGGAGGATGTCTTTTGTTTGTCAAATGTCCGGAGTAAAGACAGGAGCTTTTGGTAAAGTGATTTTTTTTAACCACTTTGTGAACTCGTAACATCAGATTAAGTTAACTTTTGGTCTTCATCTAAGCTGTAAGAGATATTTAGTCATTGTTTTGTATTCATATTTCTGCAAGAAATAAAGTATATATATATTTTTTTTTTTCCAAACAATCAAGTCAGAAGTGCGTCCAAGAGAAAACTGCCTGTTGCCATCCACGGCCCTTTGTGGAAAATTTTGCTTTTGGAACCAAAGAAGGCTGCGGCAGACTTCTCTATTTTAATCTCCCCTGATTTGGCATCTAGTAGAAACTGAGCACTAGAAATAAGGATTCGTTAAGGAGTGATGTAGCTTAGCGGTGAATAAAGCTCCAGAGAATACGAGCAGACGATCCTCTGTCTCCGCAGGCCGTACTCACACAATGCGGGCAGCTCCACTTGCCCTCGGGGGCCTTGTCCAGCTCAGGCTCGAGGCACACGAGGTGGTAGGCTCGAGGACAGGTGTCGCACAGGATGATCTCTCCGCCCTGCTGGCACACCTCACAGTAGTCCTGGTGATCCGTCTCATAGCCGTCGCCTTCTTCCTCGCCTGGAACTGGAAACAGAACCACATCAAAATAAACAAATATACACATAGATAAAGAATAAAATGTTACGAAAGACAAGAGGTGTCTTTAAAGCAAAAGCAATAATATTATCATGTAAAATAAAAAAAAAATCCACACAGTAATAGTGTCTTTAGTTATTCATGAAAATACGCGGACCTTATTTGTAAAATGTGCCAGAAAGGTATTCATTTTTTAACTTCCCAAAGGTCTTTTTAAGGTAGATGTATAAAAGAAACATGAGACATAAAAAAAAAATACTTCCTGAGAATCAACTTTAAATCTCCAGGTCATAAATGTCACATCTTCTCAATCAGTGCTAACATAAACAAGGGTTTAATAAAGTTTAGACGTGAACCAAAAGACAGAAAAAAGTGCTTCAATTAACTGGAACGTAAAAAAAAAAAAAAACACTGAGGTAACTGTCCACAAATTGCCAGGCAAGCAGAAAAAAAGGCCATAGAAAAATGTTAGCGGATGACAGAATAAAGTACCCATTGAAGGTCTGACCAGGTCAGTGAATGTGAGCCTGTTTTTCAGCTAGAACTCATTTAGAACTTGGTAAAAAGGCTAAGACGCAATGGAAAGACGAATAAAGCTGAGGATGCACGACTGCAGTTTCTGCTTCTTTCAACAAGCAGCCAAATGGCTAAATTATTACAATAACAAGAAAGTGTTATGATTTGTATAGAGTAACAGAAGTTTAGGCGGTCAGGCTGGCTTCTCATGTAGCCAGCCTGCAGTCTGCTGCTTAATAGAAATGCAGCTTCGTACAGGTTGGGAAAAAACAAACGTTGTCCAGCCAACTGGTGATAAATTTGCATTTAAACCAGAACAGATGCAAAAAAGACAGTTTAGTAGTAACTTTTTTTAGCTAGTTAGTTTTTTGTCCTCTCTCTATTTCCATTGCAGGGATCAGAGCCAATAGTTCTTGCTCATATAGCTGCTAATATATCTTTGCTTAGCTAGCAAGGGCTTATTAGCAGCTAGTTACCAGTAGCTTCAACCAGCGAGTCAACATGACAGAAAAGTCTCACAAGAAAAATAAAAAAACTACATAGAATATGAGATTAAATAGTCCTACCACAACAAAATGTAAGACCTGTGATTAACGTATTTAAGGCCAACTTACCTTTTTTTCAATAAATTTAAGGCCTCAATTTTAGATGCTCGAATTCGATACTATTTAAAACTTTTACACCCTGGTGTAAGAATTACAATGTCAAATATTTTGGATGTAGAAACTCCAAACTCTAAATTCACTATAAATTGTAAAAATGATAAATTGTAAAAAAAAAAAAAAAAAAAATCTATGTGGCATTCATCTAACAAGCAGGCTCACTCTTGCCTTTCTTCTTCTTCTTGGCAGGCCGTCCCCGCTTGTTCTTTTTCACCCGGCCGGAGCTGTCGGAGCGAACGGAGGAGCTGTGAACACTGGAGTCCTCCTGCTCGGACTCTTCCTCATCCATGTCGTCGCTCTGACAGAGGAGAAAAAATAATCAGGCAACAGAGTGAATAGAGAAAAAGAGAGGGGGGCGAGCGCGCCAGTAACACAAAAGGAAGGCAAATTATCTCCATCAGTTAAGCAGAATGTAAACATCGGACTCACAGAGCAGCTCTTCTTCCTCTTCCCAGCTATTGGTAATAGCTTAATACGGATGGGAGCCATCTTTTTAGCCTTAGATAGGGCTTTCTTCTTGTCAGGCACTCTAGGACTTTTACTGCGCTTTTTATATCCTGGACCTGCACAGATAATTAGATCAAATCCAAAGTGAACTGGAAATGTATTGATCAACCACTATGTGGACAGTGTCAACAACAAAGTGGGTACAGAAATTAGATGAATCCTTCATCTTTACGCGACAAAAAACAACACTAAACGGACACTAGAGAAGATCTAAAGCTACCGCTGACCTTTGCCCTCTTTCGTCTTGGCCTTTCTAATGGGCGGCGGCTGAGGCAGCGGCTCGGGCGAGGTGGTCGCTGCAGAGACCTGCTCGGCGACAGCGATGGCGGCAGCAGCAGCGGCCGCCGCGACAGCAGCGGCGTTGCCCTTGAAGGGGTTGTTGGAGCTGAACTCCCTCCACTTGGCCCCCAGGATGGTCATCATCTTCGACATGGGGATCTTCGGGTTCTTCTTGGCTATCATCGGCCTGGGAGGAGTCGCGAGACAAGCGGTCATCAGAAACTCAAGCCATATCCTCAGACTGTGTGGCTTTACGCTGTGTCAGCAAACTCGGCTTTGGCTCGGTCAAATCAAGACAACCAAATCACAAAGGCCGCAAGAATCCGCAACGTAAACTTGGTACTATAGCTTATTTACGTTGTCAGTCAACACAGGTATGAGCTATCCACACAGCCTGAGGCTCAGGGTGCTTTTCACACAGTGTTGGTAATGCTGCCCCACAAGCTCAACAAACTGGCCTGATACAGTTCAACAGATAGACAGGAGCAATTACCAGAAGTTCACTATGTAGCCTCATTTGGCTACATAGACAAGTTTTTAATAATTTCATTCCAAACTGCATAAGCAGAGAGCAAGTTATCAGGTCACAGAATATCTAGTTGATGTAGTTAAAGAAGACACAGTGCGTAAACGGCATCTTTTTGGTTTTGTTTTTCAATGTCTTTGCATAATTTGGAGTGTTTATAGCCAAACTCCTGTTTAATGCAGCCATTTTTGAGTTTGTTCTTGTTTCCGTTATCAACCTACCCTAAATCTACCCATTAACAGGTGCACCGGAAGATACATTTTTCCAGAGAGAGATGTAGATCCAGTGGTTAAATTAAGACGATATATTAAATAAAATTTCACATGCATTTGTTTTCTCCATGTCACGCATAAGGTTAGCTTGAAAAGTATTAGGTGAGCTACGCCTTTACTGCCAAAAATGTACCCGCTGCAACACAGAAACACAAAACCTAACGGTAGCACGACTCAGCCATATTTTTAACAAATGGTTTATAACTTCCTGCCGTAGCTAGCTGTGATGCACTGCAAAGGCTAAATTGCAGTGCAGCACAAATCAAGGTTTATATTCATTTGTCTTATATTTACTTTTTGTCCCCTTCTATGCTAGCAATGTTAGAATTTCCACCAACAAAAAATACAGTTTTATTTTTTAGCAGGAAGTTTCAACTGTGTTAAATAACTGCATTCATTATTCACCACAAGGGAGACAATGTCTTATTTTTTGTGTCTTAAAAATTAAGGCAATACAATACAAGGGCATTAGCCTTCAAAAGAATGGAACCGATCAGCTTTCTGAGTCTTTCTTTGCTTAAAATAGAGCTGAAGATTCAATGTAAGATTGAAGGAAATCTTTATAACTCATCATTGTTAAACTGTTGAATATGTAAATACTGATTCGGGCAAGAATTTGCAATAGCGTTTTCAAGAATGTTTGGGACTTTTTAGGACTAACAGCTGGAGCAAGAGGTGTTGAGGTTTAAGCATTTTAATGGTTCAACCAACATAACTGAGAAAGCACACCAAGTATAACTCACTCAAAGCGCCGTAGCCGGTGTTGATGTCGCCCACACTAGCAACCACAAGCTCAATGTTAATCCTCAGCAAGCAGACAAGAATCCATACCTCATAAACTGGCTGAAGGCTTTGTAATTTGTGAGTTCCCTGTAGTCGTCTTCTGTGAAGGTATGATCAACATCCTCCAGGCCCCACTCCTTTGCCAGCTGGGCAGACGTTTTCTGCTCTATCGGCTGCTGAGAGGAAACCACCAATCGAACAAAAAAAAATTATTTTTTTTTTTTTACCAAGACCGTTTACTACTACTGTGCGAGAGAAGTAAATCGGGGGTCTTTACTTTCGTTGTTTCCTCCTGGCTACTGTCTCGGTCCCCGTCATCTTTTTTCTTTTTCTTGGTTTTCTTCTCCTTCCTTTCTTTGTGTTTCTTCTTTTTCTTTTTCTCGCCAGAGCCATAATCGCTGGCGATGCTGTCTGAGTTCTCACCATAGTCTCTTTCTCTGTCTGAGATTCTCTCTACATCGCTGTCCTGAGAGGCAGATGGGATTTTTTTTAAAAGTTGGAACAGTGAATAGTGACAAAACCCACACATGTAACCCATTAAACTTACAATCTTCTTGCGTTTCTTTGTTTTGGCAGGTTTCCCCTCTTTCTCTTTCTTCTTTGTGTCCTTCTTCTTCTTGGGTCGGCCTTTCTTCTTGCACGGGACCTCTCGGTCCGATATCTCCGGGTCTTCGTCTGGGTTCAAGAGAGCGCAGAAATGAACAACGGCTAACAAACTGAGCTAAATAATCTTGTCAAAACGCTTCCCAGTAAACCGACTAATCCCTGCTGATAATAATTGCCCCCAACAAAAGACTAAATGATAAAGCTGCAGAGGTCTCAGTGACCTTTGACCTTATCTGAACGGTGACAATTGGTGAATTAGTCCAATTGGGGAGCTCCAAGGAGACCTGACAGCTGGTACCAGATGCTACAAGTCAGGGATTAGTGGTTTATGAAAATACATTTATTAATTACCGACAGAGCCTTGTGATGATACTGTCAGGTTATAACCACAAAATTAAATATATTTTACTGACATAGCTAAAAGAACATAAACTAGTGCAAAATTGTAAAGTGAGAGAAAAAGCATACATGGATTTCAAAAACTTTTGAGTAAATCTCCAACTTCCTGGAGATGTCAACTAATTATTAAGCAGGCATATCTGACCTTTATTGAACAGCTATTTTTTGGTAGTCTGCAAAAAGAAAAGAGACTGGGTGGAGGTTCACCTTTCAGGAGTGCAATAACTATAATGATTTAAATCAAATTATATTAATGTGATAGAATAACTCAGTTGAATGCAAAAGAGGATCTGGGCCAAGACTGACTGTGGTTCACCAATACTTTCTGACTGAGCTTGGGCTATATTGGAAAGAAGAACGATAAAAGATTCAGTCTATATGTGCAAAAGCTGGCAGAGGATCTGCGGGTGGAATTGCAGCAAAAGGTCTATGCAATACTTTATGGTGGTCTGCCACATGAAATCCTATTAAAAATATTGAAGTTTGTGGTTGTAACATGACAAAGTGTAAAAAAAAAAAAGTTACTTTTGCAAGATAGTGTTTGGTGTTTGTTTTACTTATATTCATAAAATTTGATTGGTAAAAAGAAAATCTGACAAAATCATAAAAACCATAAAACTTTTAAAAGAAGAAAATTATCATCATTTTTAAACTGTGAAAACAGGGTGGGACTAAATAAATATCTTTCCCTTTCAATGAATAAATTATGTGAAAATGTCTGACCGTTCTACCACTCACAGTTTTACCATTTAACCTGCAATCTGACCTGGGTTTATGCAGGGAGGAGAGCCACAGATAGGCAAGTGGAGATAGCTGCCTCTATTTAAAAAAGAAACAAGCAAAGCGTTAAAGCGCAGCCAAAATACTGGCTGCTTGATAAGCTAGGTCCGTCAGATTTTATTGTGTGCCCGCCTTTGTTGGTGCGCAGCAGCAACAACAGCTTCCCTCCACCTCCTCCTCACTCCGGAGCCTCCGTGATTCCCGCCTAGCCGTGCAGCAGTGCGGTCCGCCGACGAAACGCCGGGGGGCGGCCGCTGCACGCACGCAGGGCTCGGTGATTCACAGAGGCCCACCAGTGCAATGAACTGGAACGACTCCTGCAATTCCCAATGGAGATCTGGGGGTAGCGGTGGTGGAGAAGAGGGGACCGAGACCACCGCTGTGGCCGCTGAGAGAGGTCGCCAGTGGGTTAAAGTCCTCGACACAAACACTCATTTATCCGTCTGGCACGGTTCCGCGGCGATAAAGACAAAGCAATGGAGGACTGCTCCGTTATGTTCATTCATGAAATTAGAACCATCCGAGCTTGCCAAAACGGCAACATTTGCTCTCTTTTTTTTAACATCCAATAACGTGTTAATACAAATAATATAATACATTTTCATACGGAGTTTAACAATTAGCTCACCTTAATTAATTATTTAAAGCAAATATGTATCTTTGTTCCCTTTACCGTTACAGGCTGGCCAGCCGACCGTTAGTTCACGTTCAGTGTAAAGTGCAAGTTCACTGCCAGGAGAAACTTCCAGAATAATCACGTTCAGCTAGTCAATCACAGAAGCTAAAGCCACACTGTCGTTCAATCTAACGTCTAATAAAGTCGCCATTAAGTTGTGTTAAACAGAATTGGACAGGAATTTACAAGAAAGCCTCGTTTCGACCTGTATGTCAGAGGACGAGACGACACAAATACTGTGGGGCATAGTTTCTGCCTCGTTTGACTGCACTGCGAAACCAGCTCCTCGGGTATCAAATACATGTAGCCTCCGGCGGGGGAGTCCATGTTTGTTTTGTTTTTGAAGCAGCTTTTCTACACCTTCGGGGCGACCTTATTACCCTGCGGTTGCCCGGCGTCTTCATTTGCATGTGTCCCCCTGTCATGTCAGGGAGCTGCTGTCACAGCAAAGAGGTGGGGGGGGGGATTTAACTGCAACTTTCTGGAGGATGGCTCTGCGGGCTCGCTGTGGCGAGTTTGGCTAAACTTTGCAGGGAGGTGAAGAGGTGAGAAGGAGGAAGTGGAGGGAGCGAACCGGGGGTTTGTCATCCCTTCTACTTTATATTTAGCTGCAAACATGGCACCCAATTCACATTTAGGTTCTGCAAACTATTTCGTGTTGCGTTTTTTGTGTGCGCGCGCACCCGAGCTACTCTACTGTACAGTCCAGGACATGGATAGAGATAGCTCAGATAGCAAGGCTACTTCTGTAATTAAATAAAAAAAAAAACAACAATCTTAAGCCATTAAAGTGAGTTTTATTATTTCGTGTGATGTTTTACGCGCGTTCCCGACCGCGACCTGTCCGCCTGTCTTTTTCCTCCCTTTCTTCTTCTTCTTCTTTTTCGTTTTAGCAGCTAGTCTATCGTACCTGGCGCGGCTGGTGGTGTTGCAGTTTCCCGAGGCGCCGCCGGCGAGTTTATGTCGCTTGCGTTCTCGTCCAGCTCTCCGTCGTCCTCGTCGTCTTCTTCATCAAAATCTCCTCCCTCGAAATTAACCACCATGCCCTCGTCTTCCTCGCAGGAGCGGAGAGGAGAGGACATTATTATATTCCTGCTGTCATTGGCGGCTCCGTCCTTGTGTTCAGTGTTTAAAAAAAAATAAAACACAAAACAACGAAGCTGTAATTCTTGCAGCGGATGGAGTGTTATATATTTAATATTCAAATCGGCACGGGAGAAAAGTAGGGGGGCGTTTTGGAATATTTTACACTAAGGCAGAGCAACAAAGATGGCCGCCCTCTTATATTTATTTTTTAACAACCCCCCCAATAAGAAAAAAATCCCCTTACATAAAAAATGGCTGACTATATTATTTCAGAACGCACCCCCTCCCTTTTTCTCTGTCTCTCTCTCTCCGTCTCTCTCCCTGTGCGCGCCCCCCTCCCTCGTTAAAAACGTACACATTGTTACAAGGAAAAAAGGGGTGTGTGAGTGCATGTAAGTTACATTGTTACTTGTTTGTTTCTTCTCGGTCTGCCCCCCCCCTCCAATTTTTCTCCCTCTCTTTCTCTCTCCCAAGTCCGGATCAGTCACGAATCCGGATCTGTCAGTGTCACTGCCAAGATCACACACACTGTCTGCAATGCAGAGCCCGACACAAATATATCAAGTATATTCTCCTGAGCCCCCCTACCACCGCTGGATATAATAAAATATATTTTGGAGCAGCGGTGTTTGTGCGTGTGCGCGCTCACGAGTCTGTGAGTGAGTGCTGGGGAGGGATCCAGAGCTAGAGAGAGAGAGAGAAAGGGGGGCGGGAGAGAGAGAGGGGGGGATGAGGGGGACGGGGGGGTTGGGAAAAAAAATCTGCCGCAGCCATGCCCAGCCTTACATCAGATTGTATTGCTTAAAAATTAACTACTTGTGGTGGGGATTGAAGTGTTTTGGTGAAATGCAAAACTATGTTTCCACTCCGACACACGGCCGCAGTGAGCGTGGCAGAGCGCTAAAACGTGAGAGTGGACGTCGTGCAGAGGTTTGAAACAGGCGCAGAGATGGTTTCTGAGCTGTAAATCTGAGCGCTCATTAGCAGCGGGATGTGTCAGCTGGATGGCAGTAAGGCCATGGGAATCCCTCCCCAGACAGCCCCCCTCAGTGGCGGCGACTGCTGCTGCCGCCGCTCAGGGCACTTTCTTTTTTTTTCTTTTGTTTTTTGTACTAAATTGTTATTTTTGACCGCCTTTGTGCACTCAAGTACAGTCAGCATGAAAAAAAAAACATATTTGGATGTTAAACGTCTCTTTAACCTCTTCAAGTTACATGAAGCGTGAAGCATTGGGTTTTACTGAGATTTTATGAGACCAACACAAAGAAGGGAATTACATGGAAAATTTCTTACAAAAAAAAATGCTTACAAAGAAATATCTGAAAAGTGTGGTGTACATTTAAATAGGGTTAGTACACCCCTTGTAAATGATGATCTCCTGCTAAAAACACAAAGATGAGAATTTAAAACTATGAGGCTTTTTCTGTTTTTTTTTTAAAGAAAAAAAAGTAGAAGAAAAAACCTGAGAAACAATAACTGAGTGTCTTCAGTCAGAGGCTTCTTAAAATTTGTTGTAATACAGGCGGCTACAGGAGATCTTTCCTGAATTTGAACTAATTATGTGTTTGTTTCCAGGTGAATGTTTGGGCCAGACCTCATCACATCGTTCCATAACACATGACAAAAATCACAGCAGTGGGACGCCTCAAAGGTCACCTTAGGGTCACGCAATTTACATTTCATAAAAACAAAAGAAGCCATTTCATTTAAACAAGTAAAACAACGCCGAGGCGGTGACCCCATCTATGACCTTTTTCGCATCCTTCACTCCTCTTCCCAGGTCAGCTGCTGAGGCGCCGACACCCAGAAGACAACCCGCTGATCACTTCCGCCTCGTCTGCTGCAACAGGTGCCTGAGCCGCTCCGGCTCGGCTCGGCTCCTGCGAATGAGAGAGGAGGAATTTTTCAGTGCCCCGATCCAAACCCAACATCTGCCAAGGCGGCGAGAGACACTGGGTAGAGCGGAGTATGTGCGACGAGGAAGATTGTGTGTCTGGAGCCCACCCTCACCCCCTCCCCGCTGCCTCACACTCTGAGGCCCTGGCCACCGAGGTGTCAGCGGGTGCCAGACTGAAAGGCTGGCGAGACGACCTCATTTATTGTGCAGCTTGTACGCCCTCAACCCACATTATCTGCAGTCATAACTGTGCGTGTGTCTCACTGTGTGACTGCAAGATGAAAAGGGGAGGTTGAAGCCAGCCAGGAACCCCCACCCTCCACCCCCACCTCCTTCACAGACAGAATTTGGACTGCTGTGCCGAGATTACCCAGTAGCCTCCCTCCTCCTCCTCCTTCCCCAAAGCCTCCCGTGTCCGTTTGGCAGGAAGACGTGTCAGGGATAAGAGAGAGAAAGTGCCTCCCCTGGGTGCTGTGCTCCAGCTAACCCAGATTTTATGCAGTGTGACACAGAGGAAGACACCAGCTCCTGTGCCGCGCTCAGAGCTGGCTGTCTGAACCTGGGCGGCCCCGCGAGCTGAAACAGCTTAAATAACAGCCAAGGCAGAGCAAGTCAGAGCAGGAGCTCAGAGAAGAGTCCATTACTACCTGAATTCGTTTCGGGTGAGGCAAGTCCCACTCTCAACGAAGGTTTACGTAAAAAGGAGTTCTTCCAAATTATAGCCAGTTTGTTAGTTTTGGTTGTGATTTTTTTTTTTCTTGTCAAGTCTTTAAAGAGATTTAGAAGAGGTTAAATCTGTGCTTTACTTGATTTATAGATTTTGCTTTTGGTGTGTTTCCATTCTCATTTCTACAATAGACAGGGGACAGTATCGGCGTGATAATTATAACGGAAACTATTACATTTTTAGATAATTTTTTCTTATTTTCTTTAAAGAACTTTCATAGCTTCCCTTAGTATTTGGTAATATTAAACAGTAGGACTTGGCTTGATGATTTTAGGTGTTCAAATTTAGGCCCATTCCTGCTGTCAGAACCGTTGTAAGTGGGTCAGGTTTGTGGGCCGCCTCGCTCGTGCACCTTCTCAGCTCTGCACACAAATTTTCCAAATTTCTGAAATCAGGGCTTTATGAACTGTAGTGTTCTTAAGCTACTTTGGAATTATTTGGCTTTCAATTCAAAAGACCTGTTTGTGCCCAGGCTTTAACTTCCAAGTTAACATCTCGAAATGCTGCTGCCATATTTCCATGCGATGCTTGTTACCCATCATGCCATCTGCTTTGTGCACCAGCAAAAATAGATATCAGCAGCAAAACTCCCCATACAATGACGCTGCCACGCCTTCACAGTCGACACATTTCACTTTCAGCGTCATTAGAAAAATTGACAACTCTCCATATATAAAGGTATTTGTACTTGAGTCCATTTGTAAACTGTGTGTTGTTGTTTTTTTAAATTATATTTATGTTGCTTTTGGAATAATGGATTCTTCCTCTCTGCTTGGCCTTTTAGCCCATGCAGTTACATGACTCATTTCCTTGTGGATAATAATACTTTCACTCAGTATTTTTACAAGATATCTTCCTTTTATTCTGGGGTTGATGCATTTCATGTTAAAACATGTTTATAAATCCATGACGCACAACCTGATGGCTGGAAATTTCCCTCCTGTTTGTACATATATTTGTAGTTAATAGCAGAGTAACATGGCACCTTCAGACATCTAGAACTGGTAGGCAATGACCAACCAGACTTGATAAGGACCATAATTCTCTTCCTGATGTCTGTTGATATTTTTTTTGTATCAAAAGCTGATTAGAATTCACAAAATGTTCTTCTTTTGAACTCAAATGGTGTGAATTATTCCATCAGAAGCTTACAATGTCACGAGATCATCACTGGCAAACAGTAATTGTGTATGTAAATTTTTAAATTTAAACAGAGTAGTAAAATATTCTGATTTTTTCCCCCTATAATTCTGGCATTTGGTAAATAAAAATAATTCTGTCACTCTTTACTAACCTGATTTGATTACATGTCAGACTTTGACAATATTAACAAAAAAAGACTTCAAAACAAACTAATATTTGTTGTGTTTGTCAAAAATGATTTTTGCTTTTTATGTTGTTTCTTTCATATAACTGAGGTTAAATAGTGTTTTTCGGGAAGAAAGCAATGTTTATGGATTGAAATGGCTTTAAACTTAAGGAATATTTTTTCAAAACAGAATAAATAATAATCTGATTGTCATCATAACTCATTTCAGCAACACTATAATATTTAAACAAAACACTCCTCTACTTGTTGTCAGCTTTTGTGTGCAAACAGTGCAGAATCAAGCAGTGAGGACTTAGTGGTCTAACTTTAACAAAAGTTATTTATTTGTAATATTTGTCAGAGTTTTATTTGTACATTTACAGTGTTTTTTTTTATTTATTTATTGTTTTTTTTTAGCCTGTGTTTGTTATGATGTAAAGCACTTTAAAATGCCTTGTTGCTAAAATTTGATTTGATTTGATTTGATTTGATTTAGCCTAGTACTCTGAAGAAAAAAAAATGTCGGGGGTTTTAAAAACGAACTTGTCCATCTCCATTCTGACTCAGTTGGACGTTTCAATATGGGTCCAGAGCGCTAACTTGTGTTAGTGGCATTAGTACGCCCCCTAGAGGAACCTCTTAAAAAGGGATATTTATCACACCGTTTTATTTTTGTAAAGAAATCTAAGAGATTTGCTTTAATAAATCAATAGCCCTGATTTCTAAAATACATACAAAAAAATCTAATTAATTTGTATATTCATTAATAAGTTTTATTCTTAATTATAAATTCAAACAATAATCTTCCTGTACTGGTATGGACTCACCATGTGGAAAAAACATGAAAATTACTAAATACTAACCAAATATATTTTTAATTAAAACAAGAATTGAACTTTAGTATCAACCTTTTTGAATTATGTATGTATACAATTATTATTAAGAAACGACAGTAAATGACTTCCTCATTTGAGCCCTCTTGTTTTCCCTGTCTGAATGACAGTGATGGTTTTATTTGACTTCCCTGTGAGTAAATCCAAAAGAAAATCCATGTTATTGTTTCAGCTGGCAGCTCTCCTGACAAAGCTTTATTTCCTGTCAACCAGCCAGGTGTGACGATGAGCCCCGTTTTTTAGAGCGGAGGTATTTGCTTTAAGAGTCTGGAAAAGTGTGGAATTGTTTTTGAAGATTTTATTGCCTGCCACACGGTCATAAAAACCGAACTTGTAAACTTTAATCTGAAAAACCCTTTTTTTTAAAAATACTAAGCGCTGCTACGATTTCCGGTTCCGCTTGTCCGCCCCCAGAGTTGCTCCCTAAGCAACAGCAGAAGGAAAATTGGACACAATGATTGAGGAAAATGGTCCTTCGGCACATGTATGTACAGCTGTAATATTTTCTTTAATATTCAACAGTTATTTTGTCTGATGCCAGTATGACAAATGGTAGAATAAAGCTTTTATATTAAATAAATGTAGCTTTATGAAGGCTTGAGGTGAAGCTAAACGTTAGCTTGTGGCTAACAGGTTAGCTTTTGTGTTCTCAGTTATATTTTTCTATGTTTAGATTTATTTAAACTGTCCAGCAGCAAAATACACCAAGTTCTATATGTCATAATGATTCCTGTAAAGTATTTCTGATTGTGAGCTGTTCCTGCTGAATGTAAACACTGAAGAGATCTGATTTGTTTTTGTTAATTATTAGATTAATGCCCTTTTCTGAAACTGTGATGGAAGAAGTATCTTTTGTACACCATAAATGAGACATATAAGCCTTACTTACGATAAAACTACTATGTGTGTCTTCACAGCAGGTAGCAAAGTCATTAGAAACTCGTATTATGAGATTCTGCCTGAATCATTCGATGCTATCTACTAGTTATGAATACGGCAAAAAAAAAAAGACACTAATGCATAATTATGACATACTATCATGTTTCTAATTTACTACTTTATTGTGAGACACAGGGTTGTAATTATGGGAAGCTTTGTCAGTGGTGCAAGTTAGTATCCCACAATTATTAGATATTTAAGTTGAAAATACACAATACTAGCTTTTCTTTATGATTGTGAGATACTATCATTATAGTATAGTGTCTTGTAATAATGGGATAGCATAATTTATTTTTGATTTATTGTTACAAGATATGTCATAGTTATGATATACAAATTATTTGTGTTTTAATCACAGTAGGGGGAAATGATTTCACACAGAATCATCTGAATCAGTTTTTCCTTTGTCTCCTCCAGGAGCAACGTGAAGTGTCCTCCTCTTCCCAGGCCAGACAGAAACTTGAGGGGCTCCTAAACAAGAACATGAGGATCCGCATGACAGACGGACGGACACTGGTGGGTCTCTTTCTCTGCACAGATCGGGACTGCAATGTGATCCTGGGCTCGGCTCAGGAGTTCCTCAAATCCTCAGGTAGGAAAGGAGAAGGAGGGAAACACTGAATTATTATTTATTTATTTATGTCTCCTTTCTTTTTATTTTATATATATATTTTGTTTTGGTAAGGTGTCTTAAATGATTCACTTAACTGGATTGGTTCTAAACATTAATTATTAAGGTGAACTTGATCAAATTCTACCAAAAAATAATGAGAAATGGCAGAAATTAAATTTCTTGCTGAAATTCTATTGTTTTCTGTGAAGTTAATCTTTAACTTATACAATTTGCTTTGGGATTTTGAGGTTTTCCTGCTTCAAACTTAAACTTCTAGATATGGACCACAAATTTACATGAATAGTAGCTCTTAAAAGTGTATGTAAATACTTTAAAAAGAAATGTCTGCTCTTTTTTTTTTGGTGGGAGAACACGACTGAATGCTGCACAGTATAAAGACAAAATAACTATGAAGGCTGATTATGCCATAAAAAAACCCTAAAACAGCTGCCTTATTAATATTTTATGTCATCTCCTATTTCTACATTTTCAAGCAAACTCATTAATATGGGATGAGGAAATATGATGTTGAAAATTAAACATTAGTTTTTACTTCTCCTCAGTCAAGCTTGGCAAACCACACACCTGATCGTAGCCGTTTTTCCTGCTTTGATGGAATGAGTCCTGGTTTTATGTGGGTTTTCTGCTCTCAGACACTTTCTCCCAGGGTGAACCCAGAGTCCTGGGCCTGGCCATGATCCCCGGTCACCATGTGGTATCCATCGAGGTGGAGGCCGACAGCCTGGAGGACGCAGATGGGTTTGGAGCCAACCACTGACGAAGAGCTGTCCATTTCTTTTTTTTGTTTGTTTTTTTACTCGACATTCATGTGACTGTTTTCCTGTCGAGGCCTGTGTCTGGAAAAGATCGAACAGTTCTTGGAGGAGTTTTAACTGTTTTTGCAGCTGAAACGGAACCTCCGGGCCGGCGCTCTGGATTTATCCATTTCCCTGAGAATGAACGAAACCCGTTAGCAGCGAGCGGGCTGAATGCGTTTCCGACATGTTTCGTGGAAATATGTGGGATTCAAGTTTATGTATTTTGTTAGTGTTTTTAAAATAAATTGATCTGTTAGATCTTTTGTTTCTGATCCTAAATGCTGCAGTATGTAAAACACAAAAAATTTAGAAACTGCAGAAAATGACAAAAAAAAAAAAGAAATTGCATATAAAGCTCAAACTTTTGCTGTATAAGTCAAAAATTCCTCTAAAATTGAGTTTATCTGCAAACCACTGCTAGAGCAGAAATTATTTGCCACAGAGATCTAAATTCTACCCAAAAGCAGGAGGAATAATGACTTGGGTCTGGATGGTTTTCATCCTTTAATACATGTCAGCATGTCCACCGAGTCAATTTGGCAGCAGGAAGAAAAAGTTACGCCACAACCAGAAACCCTAAAAATAAAACAGAACCTTCTCATCTTTAAATACAAAGAGCTCCGTCACATTTTGGTTCACAAAATAAGCAGTTACAGTCACTCTGTCTTCAAGATGTCAGTAAGAAAATAACTTAAGTTTGTGCAAAAGAAAAACAACAAAAAAAAAGGCAAAACTACTAAGTACGTCTTCCGTGGCTGTAACACCAGAGCCTTACATACAAACAAATCCTGCAGCAATTTAGTTATGTGTTTTAGATAAATATTATCCAAATATTCTGGTTAAGATATTGAAATTCAAGCTTCAGCTGAGCAGTTGCTATTAATAAATGAGGCTCTCAGTCACTGAAGATGGATTCTCTATGAAAGGCTTTAAAAAAAAATACAGCAACATTCCAGGAGAGGAGAGGCTGTGGAGTGTTTTCCCCCCCCAAACAGAGTGTAAAACCTCAAAAAAAAAAAAAAAAGAAAGGCAAAGAGAAATACCAGATTCTGTCAGCTACTGCTTCCATTCATTATTTTTGCTGCTGTATATATATATATACACACATAATTTTTCACTAAATAACCTTTAGAAACCGATTTCAGTTTAAATCAAAAACACACTGGTAGAAGATCCACAGGATTTCAGTGCGTTTCACCATTAATCCAAGAGCTCAACGAAAAGCTGTTGGTTTCAGAAACTAGAAAAAAAACGTCTCGATTCTCAGGTGTGGAGATGCTTCTGCAGTCAAGATCACTGGCTGGAGTTAGTAAAGCTGGGATTCCTTTGAAGAATACTGCGAGCGAGAATAAAAAGCGGCACGTTGACGTTCATCCTCCGCCACCACACGGTTCAAAGGTTGGCACAAAGAAAGAGAGAGAGAGAGGAGCAGAAACATCCACAGCTTTCATCCAGCACCTTTCAGTTTCTTAAAAAAAAAAAAAAAAGATTTGAGTTCTTTTTTTTTTAAAAAAAAAAGAAGAAAAAGCCTTCACTTTCTTCAACCACAGTTAAGTTCTCTTGTGGTTCCTTTTCTGAAAAAAACAACATGTTTATGTCTCTGAATAAACAGCGTCCAGGCTGATGCACAAATCCAGTGGAAGATCCGACACACGTCTGTCTAGAGTCCAGTCCTGCTCTCTAGTTGTACTCAAACTTGAAGTGGAAGTTGCCGCCGGACTCAAAGGGGTTGAAGTGGAACGGCCAGGCCCTCTGTCCGCCGCCACCGCCGCCCTGCTGGGTCTCTGGGTCCAGCGGATCCTCGCCTTCGTCGAACTTCTGCCTCATTTCTGGAAAGACGTCAGAATGAAGTTAGGAGTGGAAGAAGTTAGAAGTAACTCCAAGAAACAAAGAAAAATCAACTAGACTTTTTATTTTTTCCCCTTACAAATGATCTAAAAAGTGTGGCATGTGCTATAAACACTTCAACATATGGCTGGGAGATGAATCAATTTTATCGATTAATGAAATTTTTGACTTTTTTGGATCATTTTGCTGTCTCCCCCAATGCTGTGATTGGATTTCCATAGTTCAAGAGTGATGTCAGCAGGTCAAAGGTCAGCCATCTTGTTTGATAAGTGTGTGGTACAGCTTTGTTTATTTAGCCTCTGAGTTCAGGTCAACTTTAAGGGTCAAGATTTTTTTTTTTTTTTTTGCGGAAATAGTCGATGTTGCAGGGACACAGTTGAAATAAAATGAAAATAAAGTTTTAATATTGCCAGATTAAAGTCGTACAATTAGGAGAATTAAGTTTTAATTTCACGAGAACTCCAACACAAAAAATTTAAATAAAAAAAAAAGAATTATTCAAGCTTTTTTCCTCATTAAATAACATTTATTTTAAGACCTTTCTTCTGGTAAAACTGCACCTTCACTCAAATAATGCTAAGACTATATTCTTATAATTAAACAAAACTTCTTGTCGTTTGGCCCTAACGTGCCGTTGTAAAAATCACAGAAGGGATGACTGAAATAAAAGCAACTTATTAAAAATGTTTTCCGTCAATTGTAATTTCAGCTATAAAAGAAGAAAGACTTAAAAAAAATCTATTAAAATGAGAAATGGGGAATCTGAGAATTTATTCTTAAGCCGTACTGCCCAGCCTGACCTCAGGTTGACTCTTGTTTTCTTTTGTCTACTATATTTGCATATGTGGAGATCAACGTTTTTGCCTGTTTGTCTTTGCAAAACAGCTGAAGTGCAGTGAGAGTTGACGAAGAGGATCTGTGATCGTTTCAAAATCTCTCAAATGGGCCTGAGGCCGTTAAGTCACCAGTTTCATCTCAGTATAAATCCAGCTGCTCTCTGAAGGCCTCAGAGGTTTGTTAGAGATCAGCTGGATTCATACCGACACTAAACCAGCAGGTAGAGATCCTCACTGTGGATTTCAGTTGTCTGCCTCCTTTGTGTTTTGTTGCTATGAAATTAACAACAAAATTAATTGTTGCCTCACAAAGCTGTGTACGGTATTTACAGGAAACCGGATTAGCTCGATTGTTTCCGTTTTTCCCTCCCTATTACAAGCTGCTTCCTGCTCCTACCACACACACACATACGTGTTGTGCGTGTAAAATCGGCTCCTGACCTGGGTCGGTAAGGACTTCTTTAGCCGAGGCGATGTCGATAAACTTCTTCTCCGCCTCTTTCTTGTCGGCTTCGGACTGGAAGTTGTCAGGGTGCCACTGCTGCGCCAACTTCCTGTACGCCTTGATGATCTCCTGCTTATTAGCGTTTCTGAGCACAGGAAGCACAGATGGTTTGTTTTTATTAAAAGAGCAGTACAGTCAATTTTAATTCCTAAAAAAAAAAAAAAAAGAGCTGGATAAAACTGTGCAGAATGGATCCAGATGGAAGCATCACCTGCCAACTCCCAGGATCTTGTAGTAATCTCTTTTACGGGAGAGTTTGAGCAGCTTCTGCGCTCGATCGAGACCTTCTTTGATGGTGTTGCTGTCGCCGTCGAACTCCCTCGCCTCCTGGTAGTCCTCAACAGCTAAAATAATAATAATAATAATAATAAAAAGGATAAATCTGAAGTAAAAAAAAGTGGGTTTGATAAATAAAGCTATAGTTTTACACCAATAACAGAATCAGCAGAAATGATCCTGCGTGGATGAAGATGAATCGAAGATGAAGGAGACATTTGTGTTTATTTTTATTTGTGTGCGTTTATATCGTTGTTGTTTGATCGGATCTCTACCCGACTCTCGTAAGACTCCGTCATACAGCAGCGACGGCGCTCAGTCATTTAAATGTTTTCCCCAGTTACCGTGTTCGTCACAACTTTACGTCAGGGTCTCATTAATTTGGTGTTTTGCTGACACTTTTTTTTTTCTGGGTAGGTTACTGAAACAAACCGTCAAGTTCAGTGAATTTCAAAAGCAAAATCAGGTCAGAGTTTCCATCCACTCCAGAAGCCTAATGGTAATTCAGTTAATCCGTTCTGGTTTTAATGTGTTTGGGATCACTGTTGAGTTGGAAAAGCAACATTTATCCAAACATTAGAGGGCTGTATGTATATATTTGAGCTTGTGTGAAACTCGTGCACTTAATTTCTGCTAGAAATTTACCGACGTCCTTTTGTTGAACATGAACATTTGCGCTAATGGCCGCCGTATGACTGGAACCGGATCCAGTTCCTCGGGGCTTCTTTTAGTTGAACCAGTGGATCAAGTCAAATTAATGATCCCACTGCAGCAGTGGCGTCATCTTGTTTACCTTTCTCGTAGTCCTGGTTGAGGATGTAGGCCTCCGCTCGGTCTTTGAGGATGTTGGCGTTTCGAGGGTCCCTCTGGTGGGCCTCAGAGCAGACGTCTATGGCCTCGGTCGCTAGCTGGAGCTGCAACAGCGACAATAAATTGAGACAAAACCAAAGATGAAACTGGCCGTCTCTCAAGCTATTATAATCCTAAATTCGTAGAGGCGTTTTCTTTCTCACCTTCACAAGACAGAAGCAGATCCTCTCTTTTGCCAGGTTGGTGTAGAACTCGACGTTCGGCTCCGTCTTCATCACCGATTCAAATTTCTCAATCGCTTCTTGAAACCTGATTGTGGAGAAGACGGAGAACGTGAGCCGATGTCGGTTCAGTTGTTTCCTTATGAATAATATTGACTAATCAATATTATTCATTAGATTTTCTTCTTTTGGGAAATGGAAGAAGGAAAAACATGTTTTTCCCAAACTCAAAATCCACATATCCAGGTCTGGAAAACATTAAGAGCAAATTCCAGACTTTTAAAGAACGCGTGAAACCTGAAATCAGATCTCAGATGAAAATATCTAATAAAGTGTGGATCTTCAGCTTTTAAATATTCCATAAACGTTGCATAAATGTTTTAAAGGAATCATGAAGGCACCGACCTTTCCCCCTGGATCAGCTCCTCTGCAGAATCCAGCTGCTTGCTGAGCTTCTTCACCTGCTTGTAGTGGCTGAAACACTCCTTGTCGTCCTGGTCGAGCTTCAGACATTCCCTGATGTGGCTGGAGAGAAACAAAGCGACAGATGGGAGTGAAGGAATGGGAAGGCCAAACAAATTACCAGAGGCCACAGAAAAAGGAAGTGGCTCCGTTTCCGCGGCAGACGGCGCGGCGCTCACTTGAGGGAGTCGTGATGCTCTCCCAGGTTGTACAGCAGCCTGCTGAGCTTCAGGAAGGCTGCGCGGTTGTCGTTGCGCAGCCGGGCTGCGGGCGTGAGATCCTGGATGGCTTTCTGAGGATCCCCCATTCGCAAGTAACAAT